AATTTCAGATGCACCTCCTCACTATGTTTCTCCTATCAGCAACCGTACACTGCTACCACCGCGACTACGGGCCAATCTTCGGTCCTTTCAACCCAACATACATAGACCTGGCCACAGAATGCACAGAGACTGACACACATTCCTGCTTAGTGATTCCTACGAAGAAGATTTGCAGGGAGAAGCTGGCAGTACCACTGAACCCTTGCCTACCACTTCCCTGGTGGTATTTCTACTGCCAATGGGTGGTGACTCTACCGCCACCTCCTAAACCTAAGACTAGTACTGTGCACCCTTTTTATAGGAAGACTTTAGATGCTGTGTTGGAGTACAAGAAAGGTTTGAAGAGTAGGAATAATTTCTATGAATAAACATTTTATAATTTATAATATTTATTTATCTTTCTCATTATCATTTACACAATAATATTCGCTGGGTGCGAAGTATAAGGTGGGGGAACCACGAAACGATCGCAGCGCGCGTCATGGCCAAAAAAGGAACTTTCGGTGGCGGACGCTGTCACTTTTTACTAGCGAGATTTACGTTTTTTTTTGTGTCTGTTTAAGGTGAAACCTGTATCACAGGTCACCAGGCCAACCCACTGACGCGATACAATTATTCACGGAGTTGCATGAAGCAATTAGATCTTTGTGAACATAATAATTAAAATTAATTACTGAAATCTAGATAATACTGATGCTTATGACGTTTGCAGCAGTATTATTTTTGATGCTCTAAATTTTTGGTGTCCTAGCTGACTGTCACTTTACTGACCTCCAAACCATGGCTGTTAGATTGTGGTGAAGAGCCTGTTAAGATGCGGGGTCTTTGTTCGGCAGTGGGCGTATTCTGGCTGATGATAATGAGTCAATAGTGCCTATTCCTAGCTGTAGTAAGAAAAACTTGTAACATAATATAACATAACATCACGCCTTTTATCTCCGAAGGGGTAGTCAGAGGTGCACATTATGCCACTGTACAATGTAACACCCACTTTTCACTATTTATGTTATGAGTCCCATGTAATAGGGGTACGATTCCAGACTCCGTGCTACTACTGAGATTTTTTTTAAAACCCAGTAATACTTTGCTCGACTCGGGAATCGAACACGAAACCCCTTGCACAGCAGTCGCACTTGCGACCAATCGGCCAACGAGGTAGTCAAAGAAAAATTTGTAATTAATCATATTTCAACATTTTTCATTTTCCTTAGGTATTTTTCTTGGCTGGCAATACTGGCAGCCAAAAATCGCCATTATTTACCACCATTAATGAAAGGTAATTTTACCTAATTATGCAAGCAATAAGAAAAAATGCGTGCTATTTAAGAATCCATGTCCAACAGTGGATGGCAAAGTAATAAATTATCTCTTTCGTAGCCGACTTTCCTTACCAACACTGCTATGAAATGATTTTAATATCAACGCAGAGTTATGAACACGCTGCGCTGGATCGATGCATATTTCTCATCACTATAATGGTCGCATTACTATAAACAAAGACAAATAATACGCCACCGCCGTTGAGCCTTTTGTACGCAGCATTATAAGTAGGCCTCTGTTATATTGTAGCGACAGGTGAACAGCAGAAGGTTCATTCGGAGTATGTACCTATTGTAAAATTGTATAATCGAGGGTCCTCTTCAGAACTACCTTTTGATGTTGTTGATATTGAAAGATATTTTATTTTGGAAAACGTATTTATAGTTACAAGGTAAAAATGTTTTTAACTGATATTGATTGTGTATTAACACCAAAATCACACATTGTAGGTATACTTACCTACCTTGTGTAAACATATGTTTGAGTGACCTTTGTATAAGGATGAGAAATCGTAATTTATTTGCATTCCTTTTGCTCCACACTAGGATTTTCTACTGTGTCGTGGGTGCGTTTACAAACATACAAGGTCACATACACATGACACCCAGACCCGAAACAACAATTTGTGGATTACACTAAGTGTTGTTCCGTGCGGGAATCGAACCCGCGACACGTTGCTAGGCAGCCGGTTGCCCAGCCACCGCACCAACCGTGCAGTCAAGTCAAGTATTTTGACAATAGGTCAAAAAATTAGACGTTGTAAAATGTGTAGTGAACCTTCTGACTATGCTATTATTGCGTGTGGGCTGTTGTTACCTGTTACAAGTACGCCATAAATGTAAAAGGTTAAGAAATTATTGTGGTGAGAGCTCTAGCCGAGGGTTTTGTTTGAATCTTTTTCTTTTTGTATTCTTTTTAAAAGTCATAGGTTAACAGCTGTTTCCATTCTGGTCAGTGCTTGGTAAACAATAAACATTTTTAGAAATGTAGTTTCTTGTTAATGTAGGTAAGGGGTTGATTTGAAAATGATTTGTTTTTTGGAAGTTTGTAGAGGTAATGAAGTGAATAGAGAATAAAAGTATTTGTGTAATAATACATATACATATACAGCTAGGCTTGTCTATTTTAGTTATTTCCACAGCATTATGTCGTACGGCATTTTATTGTGGGGTCGAGCTGCAGAAATAGAATCAATATTTATTCTGCAAAAGCGGGTTATCCGAGCAATATATAACTTACGCCGTTGCGAATCGTTGAGAGAATTGTTTAAAACGATAAATATTTTAACGGTGCCCTGTCAATATATATATGAAAATATAATGTATGTAAGGAAAAATAGGCAATTGTTTGAAAAAAGAAGCGATAGACACAATTTTAATACTAGAGGCAAAAATAAGTTAGCTATACCGCAATTCAGACTGTCCAAAGTACAGAAATCCTTTATGGGGTTAGGTATTAAATGCTAATTAGGTAATG